ATCTATACTATAATATTACCTCCCCTGCATATTGACTGAAATTAATTAATCAAAGTTTGTTTGATCTGGCAAGAGTTCTCTAGGGTTCTTAAAGCTTTCAATCGTCCTATTTTATAGCTATTAAATACATAGTTCCAAAAGTAAACACAGGCAATTTAAACTGAAGGGTTAGTTCTAGGTCGCCTGCAGTGCACGTGAAACCTGAACTACAGATTTTTGGTTTCAAAAGCAGTTTATGCACCTAAAAATCCTGCAATAGAGTATACATTTAACTTTATTATATATAAAGTTGTTTATTTCATATAACTATATAAGTAATGTACTACATCTGTAAACTGTGAAGATCACTGAGCACAATACTTGTATTGGTGTGTATACGATATGTGTTTTTTAATACCACGCTTTATGCATAAAAAGTGTTATAGTTGCCAAATGTTGAATACTGCACTTGGACGAATCAAATATATGAAATAAACCGCATACATCAATAAAATGTAAATATTTTTTAAATGTGTCATGACTTTTTAATACTTAAATAACGTAGGTATACTTAAGCAATTTTCGTTTGTTTGGTAAAAAATTTTTACAAAAACTGCTTTATAAGTAAAGTTATAACATAACGAAATTGTTTAAGGCACTAAATTAATGTGAGTTAGTTAATATTACTTGAATTTAACAACACAACCATATTACAGAACATACAGCGTGATTCACCAAGTATGATAACCCCCCTTTTTCTTTAATAATGCAGTCATTCAAACCCTGATTTTGGAACTTTCAAATATATAGCATATAGGTGCTTAAAAACCATATTTTCAAATTTTGAGATTTTTGTACTACTTAAGGAGTGTCATATAAATTTAATTTTTTAAAATAAGTATATGTCCCTTATTATTTCTACTGTAGGTACCTAAATTTTTGGCAGACAATTTTTTTGAAAATTTTTGACGTGTCAGAATCAAAACTAGTACGAGTAGTTTTCGAGTTTTTTTGACTTTGTGTACTAGGCAGAACAGTTCCATGATAATGGGTTTAGAAAGATATGGTTTTAAAATGAAAAATTTTTATTAATCTATCAACATTCGTGATTTTTAAGAATGGTCCAGGTATAATAAATGCTAGATCCAATATTACATCTATTTTATATATTTTTGCTAAACAGTTTTTTAGGATCATTATCGTTAGTATACAAATTTTAATAAATGTTAAACTACTATTAAACTTACTAATTTAATAAATGTTAAATTTGGAATTATAGATATAAATAGATACATCAACATTTTAAAAAGAATATCAAATAAATAATTTACAGTAAAGAAATTTACAAATTGAAAAACAGAAGTTGGTATCATCAACGAACACTATCCTTAAGTAATACAAAAAAATTCAAGGATTTGAAAATGTGGTCTTTGAGTAGGTATATTATTTGAAAATTCCAAAAATCAGAATTTGAATAAATTCATTATTAATAGAAAAATAGGGTGAGTATGCTTGGCGAATAACCCTGAATATATTTTGTTTATAGGTATCTAGAAAACTTAACAAGGGAACAAAAGGGATGCTTATGTGAAAACGATTGAATTTTAATGGGGTAACGCTTTCTGCGAAAATCTACTTTCGAACGTTGGAGTATAACGTCGGTATGCGAGTACTATTCTGAGTATACAGACATAAAGTCAAACAGGACCGGAAACGCAGTCGAAAAATGTACATTTTAATCCTCACGAATACCCCGGGCTGAATTTAAGAACATTTTATGTAAGCACCAAGTAAATGAACAAGACGCACTACATTTTTTACTCATAAAAGAATAAAAAGTATTATAAATATAATTTAAATCAAAAAAATTTGTATTATCATATTATATATTTAAATATTTTTATTTTTAATATACTTCCCATATAATTATATATATACATATATATATATATATATATATATACAATCCTATTAACTACTATTAACGTATATTAAAATTTATAATGTAAAGCAAAAGTTAAATTTAACTTGAACTCTTTTAATTTTAATTTTAATTTTTAAACAATATTGTTTGTTGACTCGAACCTATGAGCTACGCTAAATCTTGAAAAAATGTTATTTTACAATATAGTATTAGGTACTATAATATTATTTATACTATACATAACTCGGAATATGTACACCTATAAACAATACAAAATGTTATAGGTTTATCACGACAAGGATAGTATGGTTGAAATGTAAATTGGAGTATTATTCATTTGGAAAAAAAAAGTAGTTTTTTGTATAAAACATTTTAACTCTGTTCAAAACTACATGTTATTGACGAAATAAACTATTTAGGTCTGCAACAGTTGTAGTTTTTTTTTCATAAACAACATCACATTTTATTTTTGATTAGAATTATTTCACTATTGCATACAATTTAAAACAGAATTACAAATAGTATAGTTAATTTCCAAGTCATGTTCAAAAGCGTAGAATAAAACAAATAATCAACAACGGGAATTTTCAGCAAAATTGATTTTGATATGTTGGTGTAACTCAACAACGAATAACCGTAGATACATTCAATTTTTACCAAATTTTTATATGACAATTTCCCTTGATTAAGTTTTCAATATACTTTGACTCTTTCTGAGCTAGGTATTGCCTATTTATAGGTATGAGAAACTTTAAATTTTTTAGTTATTTTTAAATTATTGTCGATATACAATTTTTTACTCTGTCGAAAAACGGAAAAACCTTAAAAACTGAGTACAAGGTACCTAATAAGTTTTTGTTTGACTATGAATGTCTGAAATTCGAATTTTGACAAAATTCTACAAAATCATGAATAGGTATAGTTGAAAATTAATTTTAGTATGAAATTTATAAAAGATTGTATTTTATATCTCAAACCTATATGAAAAATTAATACAAGATTCCTCATAAGCGTATATACATTAAAAAAAAAACCTTCCTGAAAATTCACATTAATTTTTTATGAGTGTTTGAAGTAAACATTTTTACTACATTCGATATTCACCCGTAAATTAACGATTTTCTTATTTCCTTGTAATTCAAAAACGAATTACCGTAGATACTTGATATTTTCACTAAATATTTATTTTATCATGTTCTGAATATAATAACATTTTAAAAATATTTTCACTCTTTTTAAGTTATTTATAGACACATGAAATTGTCCATTTATTTTACGCTTCGTTTCTATAAATATCGATAAAAAAATTGTTTATTTGGTCAAAAAGATTGAGCATTTATTTCAAGGTTTCTTATAAGTTGCTATTGTAGCAGTAAAAAAAATAACAATGATACATAAGCATGTGTATTTTTATATGCATTTAAAATTTTAATTTGCCACAGGAAATTTAAAAATTATATATTATTCATGCATGTAACCTACCTACGTATACCCTAAAATATTTTACTGTTATAAGTTAAAACAAAAAGTATTGCATGATTATAGTATTGCAATGTGTTATGGTATTATAGAATTGTATGAAAACCGTAGAATTTTTAAAATGTTATAAATAATATTACTAATTACGATACTTCAACAATTCTATAATTGCTAAGAAAAAACAAAATTGTTCAATCTTTCTTATACAATTTACAAAATACGTTAAAAACAAACTCTGTAAACATACGAGTTTTAATCAAGTTGTTTAAAATATTGCGTTTAAGACATAACAACCCTGTTGAAATGTATTAATCAAATTCGCGATGACAAACGCTCAGGAAACCCAATTGTTTCGTTGGCTCGTATACAAACGCGAGTGACGAAATAATAATAATTGTCACCGTTGCCGGTCGGTGAGCTATTGTACATATTATAGAAACGTAATAACAATAATGATAATAATAACAACAACTACAACAATAATAGTAATAATTGAAACCGTCAAGCCGAGTCGCGGGATGGTGACATGATGGTGAGGTGGATGCATAGTCGGAAAATCCGCGGAAAACGTTTTGTTGACGTTTGTGCAGAATAACAAAAACGGCGGTGACATATACGACGGGACGTTATTACTATATAGAATACTACCTATGATAATATAATATAGGTAGGTATAATACACGTGAATATACGAGATATGTGAAATATTAATAAAAAATGTATAATAATTGTAATATTTATATTCTCACGATAGGTACCTACCTACGTCGAGCAAATATCATAAATTATTATTTATTATTTTTATTTCACAAGACCACAATATAATATTATTAATAATTTAATAAAGTGTATTGCTGGGGGAAGGAAACGTTTAACGTAATCTATACCTATACATATTTTATTTTTCAACTTTAAATTCTTCAGAGCAAAACCTTATAAGGATATGCTTAAAGGTCCCTTGGTTTATGAGGTACACAAAAAATTCCCCTCTTACATCAAGACCCTCGAGCGGCTCAAAATTTGCATCTATAGAAACCTTAAGCTTCCATAGGATCCCGGGACTTTAACCTAGGAATTAAAACGAGAAATAGAGGAACTCGACTGCTACAGTACGTCCTTAGGTTATTAATATTATATTGTCAATACTAATTACTAATATAGTTACCAATAAAATCTTAGTTGATCTTACTTTCCTTACTATTTTTATTGTCATACTGTTACTGGTACATAAGTAGTATTCCGTTCCATAGACTAATAATGTATTACCTGCAGTGAGTCAAATTGAATCATTGAATCATACATCGGTATAGGGGCGTACATCAGATTTCAATCATTTTTGGTATATTATTTTGACTTTATATTATTATATATTAGAATCGTTGATAAATAAAATCATATAAATTAATACATTTATTGCAATCCCGACCACACCGTTTGGCGGACGTCATCGTGAGTCGTATGATATTATCGGCGGTCAGTTAGAGAGGAGATTGGGCAGCCGGCAACAAAGCCGCGCACGCGTGCAAATTATAATATTATAATAATGTATACAATATATATATGCGTCATATTATTATGTAGTATGTGCATGTGGGTGCGTTTACCACCCGCTCACGCGATGACCACGACCATGGTCGGAAGGGGTTACACGCGCAACATTAATCTAAACCTTTGCGCGCGCGGAAACGGCCGCCCAGCGTTGGGGTCTCGGGTTTTACGGGATGATGTCTGTCGGCGGCGGTATATACGGCGCGCTTTGTCGTCGTCGAGGGTTGCGCGCGCGCGCCTAAAACGCACAACGTCGTCGGGTGGGCACGCGCGCGCGGCCGCTCTCCCGGTCGGGTTGACGGTGACGGTTGGTGGTTCGGGTGTGCCGGGCGGGGTGGAGTGGACTCCCGTTTTCGCCCGGCCACCACCGTCACCGCCGCTGCCGGCAAGCGGGGGCCGCAAGCAGCCGGAGCAGAGCGTTCCCAGTGGCGGCGGCGGCGGCCGTACAATAACAATATAAGTGTATAGTACGTGTACGGCGCGGCGGCTGTATTGGTAAGGCGACGGGCGGGTGGCGGGGTGTCGGGGTGAGGGGCGGCGGTTGGCTCAGTGGGAGGGAAGTGGCGGCGGTGGCCAGGAGGAGCCCCGTCGCCGCCGGAACAGCTGCACACGCCGAGGGGAACCGAACGAGGCTTCGTACGCGTACTAAATTTAGACGGCCCCGCCGGAGTAGTTGGACGTGTAACGACGACTACGGCGACGACGACGACGACGACGACGGTAACGGCAACGGCGACAGCGACAGCGCGCGCAGTCAGTGACGTTACGGGGATCCCTTCTGGTGCACACACGGTTCGCGGTCCGCTCATTCGCTCCGTCTCGTCGAAATAATAATAATAGTAATAATAAAACACAACGCACCGCGCGCGCCGCAGCACGGTCGGTCACTCTAGCTATATATTATTATTATTTTCGTCACTCACTCGAGCACACGCGCGCCACTGCACCACACGTTGTCACGCGAACATGTCGTCCGGGTGCTAGTCATCATCGCTGTTTGCTCGTTTGTTTGTTTGTTTGTTTGGTTTGTTTTTTTTGAAAAATAAATTTTTCTGTTTTAATTTCAAAAGTTTTATCTCGTTACGCGAATTTTTTTTTCATCCCCGATAATTTTTCGTTTGTTTCGTTCGTCAAAATAATTATTATTAACACGCACTAACGAGCGTCTTATCACATTACATTATTTTCTTCCTCGTGGATAACTATTGTGATTAATATCAACTTCGCTTCGGCTCCTCATAATTCCATATACGTACAATAACTTTTGTCGTTGATCGTCATGTTGATGTCTGGTGCAATGACCAATCCGGACACAAGCCTGTTGGGTACGGCCGAGGGTCTGGTCGGTAGTCTGGCCAGCCTGACCGCGGTACCCGGCACCGGCGGCGGTGGCGGTGGCCAGCAAAAGGACACCACGTGGACCAAGCTATTTGTAGGCGGACTTCCGTACCACACCACAGACAAGTCGCTAAGGGATCACTTCGCGGTGTACGGCGACATCGAAGAGGCAGTCGTCATCACTGACAGACAGTCCGGCAAGAGCAGGGGATACGGATTTGTGAGTATACAACTGCACGACCACTACGTTTTAATTACACAATAAAAGATCACAATTAACAACAATTGAGTAGAGTAAAGTCGTTAAAATTTTTCAATTCCACATTTGTAGCTGGCTACTCAGTTTTGAGTATCATACGCTGCAAACTCGGGCCAATATGCTAAATTCCAGTATTTTAAATGCATACAAATATTCACTTTGCGCTCCACTGAGCAACTAGCATTGGTGTAGGTTTGATTTTCAACAGGGTGGGAGGAAGACTTGTAGTGGCCAAGCTACACTTCTACACGGGAAAGTCCTCACTCGTTCAATATAACACTGCAGTGGGGGTGTGCCCCAATCCATTTCAATTTATTTTTTGTTTTTCAAGTCGAAAATCGAAATTAATCCTTTGGGTATACCTAATAGACTGATGCGCAATAATACATACGATAATAATATAATAATGTATACGTAACACGCGTTGTTTTTGTATATTATGTAGGTATACATAATAATATAATAGCGTTAAATATTGTAATTTTTCGTGCTCGGCAGCTATAGTGCGTCAGCGCGTGTGGCTGTGTTTGTGTTTGTCCGACAGATGTTTAGGGTGTGTGTGTACACGTGTGTGTGTGTGTGTGTGTGTGTGTGTGTGTGTTTGTATGTCTACGCACTGAATATAATATATATTTATATGTGCGTGTAGAATATGTCATGCGTGCCAGTGCGCGTACGTATACGTGTACTTGTGTGTGTGTGTGTGTGTGTGTGTGTGTGTGTGTGTGAATGTTATCAAAAAAGTCACTGGCAAAAAACGGCGACGGTTTTCGAACGATTGACGATGAAAAAGAAACGAACACCGAGCGAGCCGGACTCATTGTCACTGTCCCACTTTTAATAATTAACTCGCTTATTGTTCGACTTGTGTTCCCCCAACGATTTCGTGAGCTTCCGCAACGCCTTGTCTTCCTAGAATCACGAAAATCGATGCGCAAATCGGTCTCGATTCGATGATAGAAATAATAAGGACGGCGAGAACAATTTCAAAACCGGCAGCTGTCGCGCCGCCGATATCCGTCGTAAAAAGACGTCCTTAGACGGTAGCGATAATAATGATATTATCATCATAATCATCAAGTCGTAAAACACTATTTTATAACAAAATATGTATTATGTGATGACCTCTTGTATGTGTGTGCATGTGCGTGTGCGTGTGTGTGTGTGACGTCAGATCCATGAAAACTTTCGGCGGATAGTTTGGACCGCGGTAAACTATATTATATATTATACCACATACCCGCTACCTACCATAAGTTTGTTCGGTTTTACGAGTATTAATAATATATTACCTAGTTGGCAGTTGCTAAATATCATAATCTCTGTCGAAAGATTTGTGTGTTCTATAGTGTTATATCGACTTTCAGAGCGTTCGACCGCCCTAGATGAACGAGCGACCTGCTAACCTTTTCCGGTCTTACACTATACCTAATATGCGTATTACAGACGGTCAGCCCGAGTGGCGAGTATACGCACTCACGATAGAATTATTATTATAATACCTGCCGGTCCGACGGTTTACACGGCTGTTTTCGCGGCTTCCCCATCCTGACTTCATCTAGTTTCAAAAGTCTGATCACGTCCGTGTCTGATGTCCGTCAGTCTCTACTCACTATACATTATATTTTATATTTGTGTGCGTGTGTTTTATGTATAAGCTATATATATTATAATATATTGTTACGACCGTGTGTCAAGGAAACCGACCTAGGTACGGTACATGCGAGCAATGTAGGTGCGTATATACCATAGACGGCCATAAAATCACTGGTAGACCGACGCCTTCGTGTGATGATCGTATAAGTTGGCCCACCGTGGTTTTCCGAAGTGAAACACCCTGTATAATATAATATATTGCAGTAGAGTCAATAAGATAATAAAGGAAAGATAGTCGGAT